AGCTTGTTTCCCAAATGTTACATTGATTTATTATCTCTATACTTAATCAGTACCTATAGAGTAAAGTTAGAAACTGACAATCTAATTAACCAGCAAGGCTTTCAGTGGTGCTCTGAAGTTTGTCTTCCTGGTCTCAGGATAGAACCCAAGCCTTACATATGCTAGGCAAGTGCCCAGTCACAAGTTCCACCATCTGGCCCTACTGGGACAGTTCAATATCATAATAGAGAGTTAGGCAGACAAAGATATCATCCTTTTGGCAGCAGTAGGATGGAAACTGGTACTATTATCAAAGGGCAGATAGGCTTAGAACAGAGAAGATGGGAGTAACATTCAGAAAATCCCTAAATGAGGCCAGGTTAGCCACAGTGGATATGAAGAAGTTCAGACACACAAGTGTTGCCAAGATCTGTATTTCTGAATTCCTGAACACAGTATTGTGGATGTCATCCTAATTCCAGTGACTGTTTCAAATCTAGGTTGTATATAAAATGCCAGGGTTCCATGGGAAATTCTGATTCAAGAATGAAGTTGGCATTGTAAACCATATGAAGTTAGTGTCTGTTTTTAAAAGACCACGTTGACTCTAATGCACAAGGAGGATTTGCACCTGGCCTAACTTGCCAGAGCCTGTTTAGTGCTGGCCTTTATATTCCGTTAAATTGCCCTCTACAAACAAAGTAGCTAAGTACTAGTGTCCATTTTATATAGTGGCTCTTATTGGAAGTCTAGGTGAAACTGAACATTCTGTTCTCATAGTTGGATATTCCCCTATGTTACATTTTCTTTCTGCTTCTAATCTTTAGATTGGAACCATGCTTACTGTTGGAATCCCCCCAAAGCAGCAGTTCTTACTCTTAATCTGGGGCTATTTTTCCCTGTAGGGGACATTTTTCAATGTCTGGATACATTTTTATTTGAAACATTTAGGAGACAATGGGAAGAGGATGGAGGTATTGCTAAAAGTCCTACCATGTACAGAGCGTCCCTTTACAAGATGGAATTCCAGCCTAAAATGCCAGTAGTTTCTTAAGGATATGAAACCTACCCAAGGCTTGATTTGTTCCCTGCTTTTTCCAGCTCATTCCTTTAAAAAAAAAAAACTTTCAAACCACTTGGGACACCTGTGGATTTCCAATAAAGATTTCCAAGGTACACTCTTAAAATATGCAACCTTAGTACGTATAGAGTTGGATCTAATTTTGCATTTTAACAAGTACTCCAGGTAATTTTGAAGCAAGTGATAGGAACCAGACTTCGATGAGTAGTGCCTGCAGGGAATTAAATCTTGATTCCAGTTACTAACTTGGTAGCTGAGACCATCTGCTCACTGATTAATTTCCCTGGAATAAACTGCCTGCATGTCTGAACATAGTTATGCTCCTTACCTTACCTTCCTATTCTAGTCCCTGTCCTTATTCCAGTGAACAAAACTAATCACAGGTCTTGACTAGATAAAGGTTAAAGATAAAAGTTCTCTTCTTTTGTGAGTTTGTACAACAATGAAGGAAAGTACAGAGAGTTGATAGTGTTCTTCCAGTTTCTCCTGTGACAATTTATGCCTGTACACTCTGAACACTGAAGTGAGTCTGGACGGATGACAGGTTAAGAATAAATGCATCTGCCTGTGTCAGGTAGCTTAAGCAATTACTTTGAACTTAACAATATGTGATGTAGCAACCATTGTTAAATTCCTATCATCTTATTTTGAAATCCTGTATTTCCATTGGTTTTTCTTGTTGCTGTCATTTTGCTTTTGTTGTGTTTTTAATTGTTTGCTTCTTGATTTTGGCTTTTTCTCTTTAAAATTGTTTTTAAAAATGAATGAATGCATCTTTGGTGGAGGGTGTAGCTCAGTGCTTGCTGGAGTGCTTGCTTAGCATGCATGAGGCTCACGGCTTGATCCCCAACACTGAAAAAAAAAAAAAGCATCTAAAAATTGTCATGTGGTCTACATTTTTCCATCTTTTACATAAGAATATAGAAATTTTTGTTTAAAGCATTACTGGAACCCAGATACGTCCATGCCTCTGACTTACTAACCTAGTAACTTATAAAAATAAGATTATATAAAAGTAGTAACCCAAGAGAAAATGCTTAGATTTCTCAGATATAGTTCATTTCCATCATTCCATCTTCATGTTCACTGACACACCATCTCTGCTGTTAAACATATGGCAACTTTTAAAAAATTACACATTCTATTTTTGCACCTAGATTTTCTCCATGTTACTGGGTTAATTTGGAGTTGCTTTCACTGATTGCTTCTTCTTTAAGTATGTTTCTTCACATGTTATACTTGGACTATATCCTGAATGTGATAGAAACTATAGATCTTGCTCCGGTGAAGAATTTTTCTGTTTGTTTATTTAGTAGCCAGTTAACACAGTTGAACTCAAGCTCCAAAATCAGTCTTCTTGCAGTTTGCAACACATGAAGTCTCTCATCAGCTCTTTACGGTTTTAACTGGGGCCTTAAAGTCAGCAAAGTGTGTCAAGCTCAAGGATCACCATGAGAATTGGGCATTGTGGCTTCTTTCTGGTGACTCCTTGTCAGGACTTCCTCAGGTTCCAGATTCGTTGATCACTCTGCTTTCTTGGCTTGTAAGACCTGGGTTTTTATATAGTTTCATTATTCAGTGGCACTGTGTGGGGCTTGCCCTAAGATTTTAAAAAATTTCCTTGTCCCTCTACTGTCAGACTGCTTTTGATCACTTTCCATTAGTTTTAAATCATTTAAAAAATATTTAGTTCAAAGTTTATTTTTTCAACCTGAAAAGCTACTCCATCATAACTTGCTCTGACATCATAAAGAAATCATTAAACAATACATTCATATGTCTTAAAATATGCATGAGTCTGTATGCCAGTATCTTCCAGAGGACAGTGTAGAGATCCTGGGTCAGATCTAGTGTACACTGAGAAGTCCATGGGAATCATCCCATAAACTTAGGCCCCTTTCTCTACCCACTTATTTCAGCTTTTTAAAAAGTGTGTATTTCATTATGGGAACTTGATGGTATTAAAGCAGACTGTAATTTTTGACATTGCTTGTTTTGTGCCTGACACAAATCAGGCACTGTTTCATGTAGAGTATTTCTGTTTACTTTTATGCCAGTGGAATGCTCTTAAATTTTACTGAGGCTTTTTACAATAGAAGAAAAGTAAACCTTTCCACTTAGCCTTGTTTCAAACTGCTTCATATTGTTTTATTTTCAGAGTGTGCAGTGATGATTTACAAATTAACATCTGCAGGTAGGGTGGATACTTTTCATGCAGTGTTTGCACATTGAGTAAGGTTTTGCAATCTTGTCCTGTGTGCTACTAGAGAAGAAAGCACATAGTAGTTCTGCTTATGTGTTTATTTTTTCATCTTACGGTTTTCTGTTCCTGTCCTTGGTACTCAGTGAACTCTTAAGAAAAAGAACAAAGAGAACAGTGCATACCTTTATTCTAATCAGTTCTTGACTTCTAACCTCATTTCTCCAAGTACTTCCTGACAGTTAAGCTGATTTAATTAGATGGCTGATTGTGACTATGTAGCTGCAGGCAGTCACATAGTAAATTACTCAATAATTAAACTTCTCGTCTCCTATGTGTTCTTATTCTCTATTATCTCTCATGCTTCTGCCACTAAATTATTCACTTCTTATCTCACTGTTAAGTATATCCCCTATGGTGGTTTTGGGGTGTTTTTGTTTGGTTGGAAGGTTGGGTTTTTTGATGTTTTTTTTTTAATACCAGAAAAAATAATGCAAGGATAGACTGAAGCTCAAGAGAATCTAAAGTTGAGGTTTAACAGACCACCAGTACTCATTCAGTCTTAGATTTCTGTGTGTGTAAATTGCTATCTAAAGCTTAACTTATTTCAGATAACCAGTTGGCCTTAGACCAATCTAGGTTTTTTTGTTTGATCTTTTTTTTTTTTTTTTTTTGTCTTGTTTTGTTTATATGGTGCTGAAAATTGAACCCAGGGCCTTTGGGCCATAGTAGGCAGCCCTTACACCACTGAGCCATGTCTCCCACTCAGTCTAGGCTGTTCTTTAGCTCTTGATTGTTCTTTAGGAAAATATTTACTCCATATACACCCTTGTGTTCCTTTTCATTTTATCTTTAACCCAGGAATCATACCAGCGTGCTGCTTCCACAGCAATAGAAAAGTGAGCGCAGATTTGAGCGTGTAGGAGAAGGGTAAACAAAAGCTGGTTTTGGTGATGCATTCCTAAAACCCTAGATTTGGGGAGGCTGAGACAGAAGATCCCATAAGACCAGGTATTCAAAGCTAGCTTGGGCAACAGAGGAGCCCCTGTCTCATGCTCCCCCCAAAATGCGGTAAATTTACTTTTGAATCTCCTCTAGAAATGCCACCTATTTTTACCAAGCTGAATTCAGGTCTCATTCCAGTGTAACCAGAGTTGAAGAATCATCTTCTATGGCCTTAACTGCTAATTTTGAAATCTCTCACTATCCTCACTTTCCAAGACAGACTTTGAGATACCCTCCATCCACACTTAGAACCACTGCAACCCTGCATTGCTCTTCATCAGAGTCCTGCACCTCCTGAAACCTGCTTGACATCTTTCTCTTCACTGCCTCCCACCGTCAGTGTTAGTGACTCACCATCCACTCTGCTATAACCCTGTATTTACTCACCTTAAAAATTCCATCTCTGCTCATCTCATCTTTACTACACCTTAGTGACAGACCAGTTGAGAAACATTTTGCCTTGATACTCTTCTTAGATTAGAACTCCTTATCTCTACCTCCTTGATTCTCCTTGTGCATAGCTTTCATTCTTTTTTATCCAGTGTACTTTGTGTTTAAAAAAAAAAATGCCTAGGGTAAGGCGTCCTAGGTGGCCCCAAGCTTTCCTTTCCTGGTTCCTGTGTGGCTGCACCACACAGTGGGGAGCGCTCATCTGTGCTGCCTGGTGCAGTCCATGCAGGTTTTCTTTTTTTATAGCAATTTTTTTTTTGTCTTTTTCCTTTTTATCGGTACCAGGAATCGAACTCACGACTGCCTGCTTGCAAGTCAGGCGCTTATGCCGCTGAGCTAAATCCCCAGCCCCAGGTTTTCAAAACAAGAAGACAGCCACACTGTGGCCCACTGCAAGAGAGAGGGCAGCAAGCTTATCAAGATGAACAGGCCTCACCTGGAGGTGAAGGCAATGCACGGCATAATACAAGTTACTGGATCTTGTTCTGCGTCTGAGCAAGTAGTGGCTTGCAGGTATAGAGTTCTGGGTCCATGGGAAAAGTGGTCATTGTTTATGCTTTAGTCCATCTCCAAAGACCTAGTAGCCTGTCACCAGAAATATATGGATGCGCCATCCAAGATGGAGATCAAAAATACCCTCAATTCAGTATGATCAGACTCTGCTTGTGGCTGATCCCCTGTCATGGCAAGTCCAAAAATTAGAGACCCTGGTGTACATGTTCACTACCAGAAAACCTACCTCTAGTCCCAGTGTGAGGATCAAGGTTTGCCTTTATAACAAAGCAGTGTGGTTTTTAAGTTAGAAAAGTTTAGAAATACATTTCCTTCTAGGCTGGCTTGGTGGCTCATGCTTTAATCTCAGCACTCGAGGCTGAGGCAGAAAGACTGCTGTGAATTCTAGGCCTGCCTGAACTGCATAGTGAAGTCCTGTCTCAAAAAGACAAAAATAAAAATATGTCTCAGCTCCAAACAATCACTGTTACAAGTATTTAAACTTTTGACATTTTACTTGTAAACCTAGTTGTTAGCATTTTAATGCATAATACAGTATTTAATAGTGCTCATAGTATATAACATTCTATTTTTTATTTTATTTATTTATTGGTACCAGGGATCAAACATGACCGCCTGCTTGCAAGGCAGGTGCTTATGCCGCTGAGCTAAATCCCCAGCCCAGTATATTAGCATTTTAAATAGAAATAGTACCTCTAATAAATTCCACATCTTACCCAGTTCCAACTGTACAAGAACTTCAGTTTTTAGTATTAGAAAGTTAATGATCAAAGAAAGGGCAAAGTCATCTTACATTTCTGACAATACAGTAATGCAGTAAATGCAGTTGTATCTCAAGGAAATAAATGGAATACAAATTTTACTACCCAAAGGAGACACAATCATTTTCTCTTTTCACTTGATACTGAGTGGGAAGAAAGGGAAAAAGAGTTAGCTGGCCTCAGGTAGGTTTGTCACCCAAAATCACAGGAACTCTGATTCTAGAAGAGCGGTGGAAGACCTCAAGGAAACAAGTGAATTCAAAGGTTCCCCTAAGTGGTTCTGCTTTAAGATAAAACCCACCCACCCCCAGAAAAAGATCCCAAGGAAAATAAGCAGTTCACATCCAAAACAGAAACCAGACGCCATAGGACAGAACCAAGAGGGCAACCTACTCGGGACCCTGTCTTGTCTCTCTCAGAAACTTCCTTTCTCTCAGTAAACATATTCTGCTCTTTACAAAAACAAAATACATCAAATAGTATTAACTATATGTAATGTGTTTGAAATAAGCTAAAATATAAGCTGAGCATATGTATTAGAAAGGCTGCAGCTCAAACATGTAAAAGCTTCAAAAACAGGCGAGTTGGGTGTGATGGTGATGCACACCTGTAGTCCCAGTAGCTGGGAGGTGAAGCAAGCCAAAGAATTGCTTGAGCCCAGAACTGCAAAATGAGCCTGGGCAATGTAGTAAGACCTTCTCTCACAACAAGAGAAAATCAACTAGATGGATTAAACAGAAGAGATGGCCAGAGGGAATTAACTAGAAGATAGTTTAACAAAAGGCCACAGTCTCAGCTGCGGAGTCAAGGGAAGTATGATGCATTACAAGTTACACATGAGAAGTTTATTATATGCCCAATTGAAGTACTGGAAAGATAGACCATAGAGGAGAAAGATAAGAGTTAAGGATTTTTTCAGAAATAGATTTTAAAGAGCCCCAGAGAATCCCAACTAACCACACACATACACACACACACTACTGAATTACATGGGGGGGGGGGAGAAAAGAATGACCATCTGTAAATCCATAAAAGTACATCAATTCGGGTGATTTATGGCTTCTCACCAGCAGGTATGAAGCCAAAATATAACAGAGGAGCATCTTCCATGAGTTAAAATAATGCTCAATCTAGACTGATATACTCTATGAAACTATCTAGGAAGAGCTAAAATAAAACGACACGAATATAACTTGCATTCAATAGATCATCAATTGAAAGAAAATTTAAAAGTCTAGGCTGAAGGAAAGTGATCATCAGAGCTGGAAAATGTGGGAGAGTGGCTGAGTCGGAGGTCAGCAAACGCCCTGGGACTACAGCAAAGCCAGTCCAGGAACTTGAAATGCCAGAGGCAGATACATAAGCTGACTCTAGTTTAGTTACTTATCAGCAGGTTTCCGCCTCTTAGTGTTCCTCCCTGTTAACCTCAGCACAAACACCTCTGAGAATGTTCACTTCCCTGTGCTCAGCAAAACACTCTGAGACCTTGCACTTTCCACCCTGTCATGTACTTCCCCACTGTTCACTGTGTATAAAGAAAGACTCCGGCTGGCACTCTGCGCTGTCTCTCCATCAGAGGGCTACCTCCCACCCAGTCCAGTCTCTTCCCCCCCCCCACCCCATGCCTATCTTTTCTTAATCTCCTAAGCCCATATTCAGGACCCACTGGTCACTCAGGACACAGCAGGAAAAATAAGTAAAGATACTCCAAATATAATAAAACTATACAAAAGAATAAAATGCTTAATTTGCACAGGTTTTTGTAATTAAAATACTGAATAAAATAGGAAGTCCTGATTCCGATTAATCCATTATAAGGTCCTAAAAATTATACCAATTCATTTGTTTTTCATGCAGTGCTGCAGATTTAATTCACAGCCTTAACCTACATCCCTAGTCATTTGTATTTTTGAGATGGAGTCCCTCTGAACTCACTAAATTGTTCAGGCAGGGCTTAAACTTGGAATCCTCCTGCCTCCGCCTCCCATAGTACTTGGGATTACATGTATACACCACCACACCAATCCTTAAACTCTTCCAAAAAATAGAACAAGAAAATACTTTCGAATTCTTTTTATGAGGCAGTATCACACTCAGCCAAACAGGCATCCAAGAAAAGTGCTGACTAGTATCCTTGATAAACATGTATGTAACAGTCATCAACAAAAAGAAAACTAAATTCAACCATCTGTTAAGGCAAAAGCGCTCGATTCCATTCACAGTATCACAGAAAAATAATACTTAGGAATAAATTTAAATGAAAGGGTTCTACATTGGACATTATAAAGCACTAATAAAAGAGTTCTACACCAGAATCTGTAAAACACTAGAATTGAAAAAGCAAAAATTAATTGAAAAACATCCTTTATTCACAGAGCGGAAGACTGTTGTTCAAATGTCCATACCATCCAAAGCAACTACAGATTCAGTGCAATCTTTACCAAAATTCCAATAATGATAATTCTTTCCAAATAGAAATGAGTCCTAAAATTCACATGGAACCACGAAAGTTCACAAACAGCCAAATTTTAAACAAGAAGAATAAACATGGAAGACTAACCTGTTATGACTTCAAAATATATTACAGAGCTGGTAGTAATATAAACAGTATGATATTGGCACAAAAGCAGGCATACTATAATACTACTCTGCAGATACAAAGTCCAGAAATACATCCAGTGTACACAGTCAACTAAACTTTGACAAGAATGCCAAGATTACACATTGAGGAAAGCATAATCCATTCATGATTGGTGTTAGAAAAACTAGATATACACATAAATGAACTTGGACTCATACCTCACACCCTCCACAAAAGCAAAAAAAAATTAAAGAAAAAACATAAAGGCTGAACCATAGAATTCCTAGGGAGAAAACATCCAGACAGTGGCTTTGCCAGTGATTTCTTCCAAGTGACACCAAAAGTAAAAGAAACAAAACCAAAATACTCTATGGGTTATCAAATTCAAAAGGCTTCTTCACAGCAAAAGAAATGATCAAGAGAGCAAAGATACAACCTACAGAAGGAAAGAAAATGTTTATAAATCATATATTTGATGTTAAATATCTAAAATACATAAGAAACTTATACAACTCAATAGAAACAAAGTAAAACAACTCCATTGACATTTCCCCAAAGACATAAATGGCCATCAAAGGTGATAAGGTCCTCAACATCACTAATCATCAAGGAAATGCAAATTAAAACTATAATGAGATATCAGCTTATACCTGTTAAACTGGCTTTTAAAAATAACAAACAAACCAGATAACAAATGTTGGTGGGGATGTGGAAAAAAAAGATCTCTAGTACACTGCTTAGTGGGGATAGAAATTGATACATCACTGCTTATTCTCCCAAAACTAAAAATAGAACTATATATGATTCAGTAATCCTATTTGTGAATGTATATCTGCATTCCCATGTTTTACATCACTCACAATTGCCACAACAAGGAAGCAACCTAAATTCCCAGTGACATATAATAGATAAAGAAAATGTGGTAAGTACATGTAAAGGAGTACCATTAATCCTAAAAAATAAAATCATAACAAACAAAAAACAAAGTTCTGTATGTGTGCTACCGCTTGCTGAGCCTGAAAGATATTATACCAAGTGTGACAAAGCCAGACACAAAAGAGCAAATGAACATGAAACTGATTGAGTGGAGACTTTGTACTCAATCTAGAGCAGCACAGAATATTAAAAGAGAGGAGGCAACTAGGTAAGAAAAGAGTTTAATGGGGTGGGGGATCACAGAGGGAGTCCCCACAGAGAAGGCTGTGGTAGCTCTCTGAGACAAAGGGCAGGTTCTGCCTGATACAGGCTCTGGTGGGGTAGGGCTCTGGGGACTGAGGTGAGCGAGAGTGCAGAGGATTGGGCAAACCTTTACATGCCTGATCTTTGGCATAGATTTTTGAGAAGGAGAATCCATAGGGGTTTCTGGGAAGAAGGAGATACACATTATCAGGGCACAGTTTTGAACTGTTGCCATGATGATTGTGCTGTCTCTCAGACGGGGGGTATCTAACAGAAACCATTTGTATGATAAACGTAAAGCAGTCAAATTTATGGTAGCAAAGTAGAATGGAAGTTGCAGGAAGAGGGGAAAGGGAATGGAAAGGTATTATTCAAAGGGTACAATGTCTAGTTGTATATGATAAATAAGTCCTAACGAGAGATTATAAAATAATGTCTATAATTAAAAAATGCTATATTGTACACTTAAATTCACAAGGATAGTAAATGTTGTTTTCTTACCACACACACAAATAAGAGGTCAGGAGAAAATTCTGAAGACAATAAATTTATGGCACAGATTACAATCATTGTGAGTACTACATACTTATCTCTGATTCGTGTTGTATATATTAATGATGTACAGATCTGTGTATATACAAAACTTTTAAATAGATTTTATTTAAATGAAAGGTCAAATGAGGGAGTGAAAATTTAAGCTGCAATAGAAGATATTTGTAAAGATATTGTGTGTATTTTTTATTTTTTGTTTATTTGTTTTTTGGTACCGGGGATTGAATTCACGACCTGTCACTTGCCAGGCAGGCGCTTCTGCTACTGAGCTAAATCCCCGGCCTGTTTGTTGTATTTTTGAATTAGTTTTCGTTACTATTTAAATTCCTGATGCTGGCTAGTTTATAAAGAGGTTTAGTTAGTTCTCAGTTCTGAAGGCTCAAAGACACTGTGGTGGCATCACCTTAGCTCAGATGAAGCCTTCATGGTGAACGGCGTCATAGTGGAGAGCTTGTGTGAAAGAAAAGAGATCACACAGTGATACAGGAAGCCAGAGAAAGGCTGAAGCCCAAGAATAACTAGTTAGTCCTTCTGAAAGCTCGTCCCCAGTGACCTAATGATCTCTCACTGGACACCCACTTCTTACACCCCCTGATCCCCAAGGTGTCTTACCTCTTGATCCAATCCTTATTCTACAACCTACATTTCTTCCAATGGCCATCACAATGGAGATGTCCTACACACGGACCTGATAGTGTTTCTATCATTCTATTTGTATGGAACAAGTAATTAGAAAGAAATAATGAACAGAGAGGAGAGGTTCACAGAATTCAGGTCAAAAGTTAAATGCTTTTTCTCATAAAGCATTTTTATGAGAAATAATTAGTTTTCTCAGTTGTATAAGTAGCCGGTTAGTTGATTATCATGTACTTATTATGTATCGACAGTCAGACATTATGCTAGATATTGCGCATATGGTGATAAGTGACACAGATATGATCTTTGTCTTGACAGATTTTACAGATTAAAGAAGTGGGCATCAGCAACTCCTAAATGATTAATGAAATAAGTTTGCAAATTACTGGCAATGGTATCTGAGGTTTGGTTAGCAGAATGGACAAGGTTGTTTTGGATGGATGTAGGTCAGAGAAGGCTTCTCTGAGGAGGACACATGTCTGGGGAACTGGGAGTTAAATGTGTGACGACTGGCGTGAGAATGTGTTCCACACGTGCGAATATCATGAGCAGGAATACTGAGATAGGAGGGGCAGGGTGTTTTGGAGAAGCTGCTTTTTAGCTACAAGGGAATGATTAAGGAACAGTGAGAAAAAGCCAGAGGTAAAGTCTGAGTCAAATAAGCTTTTGAAGCGTTTTTGAAAATTCTGGTCTTGATGGTATTTAGCTTAATAGCAGACCACTGACAACAAAGCAGTGATATTACTAAATTTGCATTTTAAAATTTAGAGGATGCTTTGAAAAAGTGAAAGAAAACAATGAGTCCAGGTAAGAATTCATGTTGTATATACCATATTCATTGCTGTGGAAGCAATGACTATGGTATCAGGCCCGGGGTGCTGGCAGTGAAGGTGGACAGAAGATGTATTGTTAAAAACGTAATTAACTGTCTTAACCATTAAGGTTAAATATAGGACATAAAGGAAAAGAGTCAGGGTAACTCTTAAGTTTCTAACTCGAACAGTAGAGTAGGTTTTTTAAAAAATATACCAGCAGATCAATAAATGCTAAGAATTTTTGTGTTATCTTTCAGAGTCAGCAAGTTTTATTTTGAGAAGCATAAGTATTTCAGAAATTCTACTTACTAGTTCTACCATTTTTAAATTAATTAAGATTATTTTAAAAAATATTATTGGTAGATTTTAGGTATACATAACAATCACATTCATTATAGGGCATTTGCACCCATACATGATATAAATTGATTCTTTTTTTTTTTTCTCCACTACTCTTCCCTCTCAAGTTCTACAATTAAAAAAAAAAAAAACAATACTTTTTTTTAAGTAAAAAGGATATAACAGAATAAAGGGCAGTTGTCGGGACCAGGTACTTGGCAAACTTAATGCGAACTTGTTTATCCATAATATGCTGTATGGATAGATACAAACATTAGCTTACTTGTTTTTTTTCTTTTATTTTGAAAAGAATAAAACCAAATGAGAAAAAAAAATGGGGTCATTCAAAACAAAAGGATGGACATAGTACATGATTTAAAACCACAATTCAAGGTGATCTGCAATGGTTACTATGATGTCTCTTGTTATCTTCTATAGAATTGCCCATATCATGAGGGACAATAAAATTGAACATAGCAGTACATAACAAAATCAATAAAAACAAAACTTACTACTTCTCTTTCGAGGATTTTGACTATATGCAGGAGAGTGAGTTTTGAAGACTTTTTTAACATAATAGAGCTTTGTGTATGTTTAAATTTTAATGTCAAGAAAATACAAGAGGTAGAAGCTATAAGAGGAAAAAAGGGCATAATTTACAACGGTATTCTTGAAAAGGAAGTGCAGGCTGGAACCCAAAAGACAAGTAGGACTGATTCAAAGAGGAGGAGCAGTCAGGAGTGGTGGTGCCGTGCAGCGCTCTGGGTAGCTGAGGCAGGAGGTTTGCAAATCTGAGCCCAGTCTGTTCAACTGCGGGGCCTGGCAGGACTCTGTCTCAAAATGAGCTCAAAATGTGTTGTACCTCATTGTGAATCCTGCATTTAATCCCCAATACCACAATAGGTAGGCAGTAGAGGTGGGTAGGTGGTTCTGTAGATAGGAAGGAGCAACTCTTCCACTACAGCAGGAGAAAAGTCTAAAAGGAAGCGAATAGATGTATATAGATTTGGTGGCAGAGAACTGAGATCATTCTCTTGTGAAATTTACATTTTCTCCATAAAGAAAATAAGCCAATGAGCGAATCTCAGGGCAATGGAAGAAATGGTAGATCAGAATTTTGAGATTATTTTGGAAAACGGAGAGATAAGGTACATGACAATCGTGAATTGTTACATAGTATTGAGGATCTATCAAATTGTTATGAATATTTTTAAGTTTTTATTTTTATTAGTACTGCATATATTTGCAATTTGGCAGTGGTTACATACGCACATTATGGCTTGTTTCTTTTTTTAAAATCCCCTTCCCTTTCCATCTCTCTGCCCCTTCCCATTGGGTCCCCTATCTTATTTTCATACTTGTTGATATTATTTGAATTAGCTCATATTATAGTGCAGAGTATTTACATTAATTAGGTTTGTTAGGTTGCTATACATGGTATATCTTTGTTCTTATTTCCCTTTCTCCTCTTTTTAATTTTCTCACCCCTTTCCTATTGAAAGAGAGCTATCCTCTTGTCCCTTTCTATCCATTTTGTATTATTTTCCTTGTTTGTACTTTGCCTCACACAAATGAGAGATACCATATGGTATTTATGCTGTGCATCTGATTTATTTCACTCAACATCACATTTTATAGGTGCATCCATTTTGCTACAGATGTGTCATCTTTATAGCTGCGTAGTATTTCATTATATATCGATAACACATTTTGTTTATCCAATCATATGATGTTGGGTATACAGGCTGCTTTCAGGATTGAACTATTACAAATTGTGCATCTATTAGATATTGGTATCAAGTACCTCTATAGCTTGATGACTTATGCTCTTTGGAAAAGATACCTAGCAGGGGGATTACCCGGGATTGTGACATTACTAATTTTAGTTCTTTAAGAAATCTTGATACTGATTTCCATAGTGGTTGTAACTAATTTCCATTCCTACCAGCAATGAAGGAAATTTCCTTTTTCAACACAACTACCCCAGCATTTGTTACTCTTTGACTTCTTAATGACTGACATTCTTTCTGGAGTAAGATGGAACCTGAAGGTTGTTTTAATCTGTACTTATCTAATGGCTAGAGATATTGAACGTATTTTCATATATTTGTTTATCTTTTGTATTTCTTCCTCTGTGAAATGTCTGTTCATTTCTCTTGTCCATTTCTGAATCGAGAATTTAATTTTAGGTGTTCTAATTTTTTGAGTTATTTGTGTATTCTATATATTAGTCCTCTGAGGTGTAGCCAGCCAACATTTTTTCCCATTCTATAGGTTCTCTCCACTCTGATTCTTTTGCTGTACAGAAGCTTTTTAGTCTGATGTAATCCCATTTGTTGACCTTTGTTTCTATTTCTTGTGCCATTGAGGTTTTGTTTAGAAAATACTTTCCTACTCCTATGTCATGAAGTGTTTTACCTATTTTATCTTCCAAAAGATTTAATGTTTCTGTTTTAATGTTTGTATCCTTGATCCATTTTGATTTTAATTTAGTATATGGTTAGAGACAATGTCCCAGTTTCATGCTGCAAGCAGGATCACCAGTTTTACCAACACCGTTTGTTAAACAGGCTCTCTTTCTTCTAACATTTGGCCCTTTTGTCAAAGACTAGACAGCTGAATATGTGCGCAGGTTTCCACGCCCTCGGTTCTCCTGCACTGATCCACGTGCTTTTGTTCACTGCCATGCCATTTTATCACTATTGCTCTGTAGTGTAGCTTGAAGTCAGGGACTGCTATGCTGTCTGCTTTGCTCTTCTTCCTAAAATTGCTTTTCCTACTCTGGGTCTCCTCCCATTTCATATGAATTTTAGGATTCTTTTATTTAGCTCTCTAAAGTGTTTTGGTATTTTGATTAGGACTGCATTGGATATGTGTAACAGTTTTGGGAGTATGACTATTTTGACAATATTGGTTCTGCCTTATCAGGATCAGGGCGCATCTTACCATTGTCTGATGTTTTCTTCAATCTCCTTGTTCAGAGTACTGTAGTTTTCTTTGTATAGGTTTCTCACTTCCTTGGTTAGATTCATCCCTAGATACTTCATTTTTCTTGAAGTTACTGTGAATGATACTGTTTTCATAATATCTTTTTCATTCTTTCTTTGTTACTGTACATAAATGCTAATGATTTTTGTGTGTTGATTTTGCACCCTGCTACTTTGCTGAAGTTGGTTATTAATTCTGAGTTTTTCTGGCAGAAGTCTTTGGGTCTTTTATGTAGAGTATCATGTCCTCTGCTAATAATGATAGTTTGAGTTCTTCCTTTTATAAATATATCCCTTTTATTTTTTTCTCTTCTCTAATTGCTCTGGCTAAACCCAGAAAATTGTTACTATGAAAAATTATATTCCAACAAACTAGTAAATTTTGAAGAAATGGACAGACTCCTATATACATACATACTATCAAAACTAACCCAGGAAGACACAAACATGCCTAATAACCCAATTAAAAACAAGGCAATTGACCTAATAATAAAGAACCTACCAAGAAAAGCTCAAGACCTGATGAATTCACTGCTGAAGTCTACCAAACTTTAAGGATGTTATATCACCAATATTCCACAAGCTCTTCAGAGAAACTAAAAGGGACCGAATGCTCCCAAATTCATTCATGGAAGCCAGTAGCACTATGACCCCAGAACCAGATAAAGATTTTATTCTAGACCAATCTCATTAATGAACATAGATGCAAAAATCTTCAACAAGTTATTAGCAAATAGAATCCAGCACCTTATCTAAAAGGTCATTCACCATGATCATGTAGGTTTTATCCCAGAGATGCAAGGATGGTTCAACATGCATAAGTCAATAAATGTAATACATCAGATAAATGAGAGCAAGGTCAAAAGCCACATGATCATATCAACAGATGCAGAAATGCTTTTGACAAAATCCAACACCCCTTCATGATAAACACTCAGAAGAAGACAGGAGTATAGAAGGACCATACCTGAATATGAAGATGGCTATTTACTATAAACCAACAGCCAGCATCATACCAAATGGGGGAAAACTAAAAGCATTCCCTCTAAAATCAAAAACAAGATAAGGATGGCCACTATCACCTCTTCTTTTTTTTTACTTTAAAGAGATAAATAAAAATATAAGAATAACAATAAAACAGTTTCAGAACAGGTTAGTAGGACAGTAACAATAATTAATACATTACATATTGTCATCTTAATAGTGGTTATTCATAGTACAACAGATAGGCAAGAAATGTTGTCCAAAACAATACTAGTGAAAACCTTTTTTTCAATGAACTAAGAGAAACTGTATGTATAGCTATCATATATATATATTTGTTGTTGTTGTTGTTGTTGTTGTTGTGTTCTTTTGTTTTGTTTTTTAATACCAGTGCCTGCTGTTTCTCAGTCAGGGAATATTGGCTCTCAGCTCTCTTCCACAACTGTGACTAAAGCCCAAAAGGGTGCTTCTGCTTCTCCTGTGTTTACCACAGGCCCCAGCCAAACCCGTTGTCATCCACACTGATGATTAGGATAAATGGAAGGGTAGGATCAATGATTTGTAGGGCTTGCACATGTGCCACAGCCCTCTTTGAGTCCTGAAAAGCTGCTTCTGCTGCATCTGTCCAGTCCCATGTAGCACCCTTCCAGATCATCCAGTATAGAGGGTGCAGCAGTGTAGCTAGGTGTGGTATGAACATTCACCTAGCAAGCCCATGTACACCTGTAACTGTCATATATTGTAATTCCAAATACTGTGTTCAGTCATCCAAATATTGTAACTCTCTTTCTAGTTTTCTTCACAATCCAAAAAGTTATATTTGTAATCCCATTGAGACATCATTGGAATCCTAGCAAGTTAATTCCAATCCGCCACCACCAATGCAACCCACAGCGAGAGTAAAGATACTAAGACATGTTCCAAGTTAAGGGTAGCCATGAGGTCCTAAGTCCAATCCCTGTGAAGACATGTGGACAAAGGCCCTGATCCTAGGTCTCTCCCAGAATTTATTATCTTGTGAAGAAGAGAAGGAGGGTGGCTCAGGGATGAATGACAGTGAGGATGGCAGGAATGACATGAGTAACTTGAGATGGCTGACCAGGTGGGAGAAAGACATCTTTGTAAATTGCAGAGATAAAGATATGCAGAAGGATCAATCACACAATCTAAGTAAGGTAGCAACGAAATTGTTTTGGGAGGCTGTTAGTTTTGGTTTCTGATACGCAAACTCTTGTGCCCTGGGGAGTCACAGCCTCTTTATCTTGAGGCTGTACCCAGTTGACATTCCGGGAGCTATTGGCTCTAACATCCCACTGTGCTCATATCCTGCACGGAGAACACTATTCCAGGAAACAGGACTGTCTGTTGGCTTTAGAGATTACTTATTAGCACCTCGGCTAGGCTAGCCTTATTTAAAAGCAGTGCTTAGAGTCAGCTGAGGAGAGAAGGAAATACCATAGCTAGCTCTCTACATATCAGTATAAGGAAACAAGTCGCAAAATAATCAAAGTCGCAATAATTGTTTTGCATTCAAGGGAAGTCACTGGAATTGTCTCCCGCAGTCATGGGTCTGGTATGTGCTTGGATCTTATCAATAATAGCCTTGACGACTACTTTGGTCTCACCCGACCAGATAATACCCAAAAATTTGACAAACAAACCAGGTCCCTGGACTTTGTCTTCATTCACAGCCCACCCCAATGTCAGCAAAATTTCCTTCAGGCTGTGTGTAGCAGCTTCCACATCTACAAGGTGAAATCAGTGGTTAACATAATATCATGAATATAATGAAACAGAGTTGGCTTGGGCCAGGTGACCAAATCCTGGGCCACCAAGCCATGACACAAAGTTGGGCTATGCAGATAGCCTTGTGGCAACACCCGGAAGGTCCATTGCCTACCCTCTGCAAATTGATCTTGACTGTCTGGTGCAACAGCAATAGAAAAGAAGGCATTAGCCAAATTCACAACATGGTGGAATCAACCCAGCACCAGGGTAAAATAGTCCATAAAGCCTGCAATGTTAGGCACCATGGCATGCAGGGAGAAGTCACTTTATTTGGCTTCTGTAATCCACAATCATTCTCCACATACCATCTGGCTTCCGTGCTAGCCATACTGGGGAGCTGAAAGGGCTCTGTGCAGGGCATAGTACCCATTTCTTCCAAATTCAAGATGGTCTGTCCTATCTCCTCATAGCTTCCATGCAGCCAGTACTGCTTCACACACACAACCCAAGTGGCTTGCAGGAGCCAATGGTGTGTGGTGTGGATGGCCTCCGACTACAGTTTTTACCATGTGAATTCACAACCAGAATTCTCCCTGTGTAGTGTCCAGCAAAGCGCCAGTCAGTATGTCCACTCTTAGCTAGTATGTACTCCACAACCAGGGAGACATAAACATCACATAGGCAAGGAGGAAAGTGCCTGATCCTCAAAGCCACCTCGACCTTCTGGACCATGATGTACCTCCACACCCTTCTATGATGCAGTAGTCGTGTAAAGTGGTCTGGGTTTCTGTATATTAATGCTGACTCAGCGCTGGTATTCACCTGATACAGGGGAATGAAATTCCCAACCTGATAGATGTCCAAAACACCAAGTTTGTGTTCTCTAAAATTGAGGAATGAATTCTAGGAACAACAGAGGTTAGGAGTAGGAAAAATTTATTGATAGAAAGCTTCTGTCTGAGGGGATAGAAGGGGCCCCTGAAAGTGTCATACATTTTTAATGATACCTAACCTACTGAGCAGTCCAGATCTAAATGTATAGAAGATACATACAGATAGCTGTATTTATCCAGGACTGGGTTTTTACAGAATAGGCAACAATAAAGCAATGGGCAGAAAGCAAAAACATTTATTGTAACAGCAAGTAAGTAACTGACCATAGAATCTAAGTTGGAAAGGGAGAGAATCAGAGGAGATAGGCTGATATAAGAGAAGAAACATATATAATTGGCTGCAAATCTAAAAATCTAGGAAGTTCACCTAAAGTCTAGATATAGCTATTTGCATAAAAGATGGTTGTCTTCCACTTTCATCCTTCCTTTTAATAGACTACTGTCTCGGTTACTTTTCTCTTGTTGCTGGGACAAAATACCCAACACCCCAAATAAAGGAAGAAAAGGTTTATTTAGCTCACTGTTTGTGGCAGTTTCAGTCCATAATCAGCTGGCTCCAAGAAAGGGTGGCGTGGCATCAGAGCAACACTTCAAGGCAGCAGTCAGCAAAAGCAGCCAGAGCCAAAGGGGCAGAATGAGCCTTTTTTCCTTACTTGTATTGTACACAGCCACCCCTACCCCCAGAGTAGTGTAGCACTCACAAAATCTCTGTGCCCTCCTCTTGCACAGAATAAGGATATTTATAAGTAAGAATCCTGGCTCCAGGCCGGGGATTTACCTCAGGGGCATAAGCACCTGCCTTGCAAGCCTGGGGAAGTGTGGTACCAAAAAAAACCCAAAAAACAAACCTGTCTCCCTGTAGAGTCTCTTAAACTCCTAAACTTCTCAGTATCAACCATAACAACTACTTTATAAGATTTATATGACTCACATTAAGATTTTGGATCTGATCCAGAAATTTACTGTAGTGGTTAGGTGAAAACACCTCAGAATCAGGAAACTGACACAGAGTTACTTAGCATAAGTCTCAGATTTCTCCCTAGGCAGGAAATAGCACTTCCTCTTTATGGAACATATACCTATATTGATTTCCAAATGCCCAACAAGAAAACCTCTGGAAAACAATCCAATCGTAATTTTGTAATTCTTTATATTATTTTGGGTACCATTTGGCATACATTAATGCAGCTTTTTTAATTATTTCATTTAGCCAAAAGATATTCTCTGGCTGTGCCAAACGTTATACTGTATGCTGAGAATATAGTAGTAAAACAAAACAAAGTCTTGCTCTTATGGTGTTTGCATTCTGGCTACAGAGCCTAGTGCTAAAATATCACAAGGTGAATATATATTATATCTGGTGGTGATAACATTTGCAGTCAGGTCAAGTGAGATAAGGAGGACAGAGAGTATCTGTAGAGTGCCACCTTACATGTGAAGCTGTAGGAAGTCCCTTAAAAGGATTTATTTGAAATTTGAGTGATCCACAGATATATTTGGGCAAGAACAATCCAGATTATGGGGCAGTAAGTGCTAAGTTCCTCATATGGAACATCCTTAGCATGTCTGAAGTTCAGCAAGAAGACCTATTTGGATGAACTATCATGAGAAAAGGAGAAATTTGTCAAATATGAGATCAAAAAGCTATCAGGAAGCCACCAGACCTAAGTGGTCTTATAGGCCACAGTAAGAACATTGGATTTCATTTTTAGTAAGATGGAAAGTCACCAGACAGTTCTGAGAGGAGTAACATGACTTATATAGAAATTTGATGGGTGGTGGGAGACAGCTGGAAAAATCGAGATGAAAGTAACTTGAACTAAGACAGAAGCAGATATGGACTCTGGATATTATTTATTCTGAAATTAAAACCAGTAGGATTTGCTGATGTAGGATGTGTTAAGGAAGAGAAAAATCACCTGGGTAGAGTAGCAAATACCTGTGATCTCAGCACTCTGAGAGACTGAGACAGGAAGATTACAAGCTTGAGCCCAGCCTGGGTAATTTAGTGATTTAGGAAGACTATGTCAAAATAAAACATCGAAAAAGTGCTGGGACGTAGCTTAGTATAAGGACCCTCGGTTCAATCCCCACTACCACACAATGACAAAACACCTGAGACTGGATAATTTATTTTTTAAATTTTATCTTCTCACATTTCTGAAGATTGGGAAGATCAATATCAAGTTTCTGGCCCTTGTGCTGTATCCTCAAATTGCAGAAAGCAGAAGAGGCCAAAACCTAGGTGAAGCCTCTTTTTAAAAGAGCTCAGTCCTGTGCACAAGATAGTAGTCCACCAAACCTATTCACCTCTTAAAGGTCACCTTTTAGTAATATCACATGGGCAACACATAAATTTGGGTGGAGAAATATTTAAACTATAACGGTCATTCAGATAACATTAACACTATGAGATTGGATGAAATCACATAAAGGATAAGTGTATATAAAGAAGAAAAGACATTTAAAGACCAAGCTCTGGGTACTCCTACACATACAGGTCTGTTCACAAGAAGAAAACAACACAGTGTATTCAGGATGCGCCCAGTGAGTCAGAGAAGAATCAAAAGGTAGTGATATCCTAGAAGCAGTTCCAATGTTAAAGATATGGCCACATTGCTGGGGGAAAGGCTTAGTGTTAGAGTGCTTGCCTAGTGTTTGCAAGGCCTGGATACAACTCCCTAGTACTGAATGACCGTAGGATTGGATATTTGATGTAATGGAGGCCAAGAGTGGTATAATAGAAAATGCCAAGGAACCAGAATATTGGTGACTCTTTATGGATATTGAAATCACCAAAAATGTTCACATAAACTACATCAGAAAATTGGACATAAAAATATTGTATTAGAAGAACAGACAAATGTGTTAACTTTCAAAGTGTGAGGGGAAGCAAGTGATGCTCCAGCCAGAGGTCTACAGATGCTAACTACGGTACAGTGGCACCAGATTCTAGGTCAAGTCAACAACTGACAGCCCTAATTTAGGAGAGTTTGACTCTGCTGTAGTGTGATAGTGATCCACATGCAGAAGAAAGCTTCCTTTGAATTCGGACTTTTGATGTGGTCCTAGACTAGCATCCCATGACAGTGGGCAGTGTGGCACTGAGCCATAGCTCCCCTGTACTGTGTTGCTATGATGTCTGGCAGGACAAGTGTGTTACTTTTTGTTTTTTGAGGCAGGGCTCACCTTGAGCTCACTTTGTATCCCAGGCTGGTCTCAAACTCACAATGATCCTCCTGCCTCAGCCATCTGAGTGCTGGGATTATAGGCCATGCCCAGTTTGTTAAATGTATTTTTTATCTAGAGCATTTTTCATTAAAGATGAATTTATCGTGACATAACCCCCTAATAAGTCAAGGAACATCTGTAATTGTGAATACTTTGGATGTTGGTAACATTAGATTGGCCATATGAAAATGCAGACATTCAAATACTTTGTGCCTCCCAAAATGTCAGTTCCATACATTCAGCCTGATATAACTGAATATGTATAAACTATATCTGAACTGGAGTTACCTCCATAAGTTAGGATGTGTTATAGTCTTTTCAGATGTAAAAATCCCTGAGATTTGGAGTTACTATGTGACTCCAAATCACTCCAGATTTGGAGTCACTGTGTGACTTTCAGAGCACTGAGTGTTTGCTTTGTAATTTAATGGCCACTTAGTATTTTTATACGCACAACATGGCTATTGTTGGTCATTTAGTATTTTCATGTATGTATCATTGCTATTGTTGGCATGTTTTTATTTCTGGGTGATCATCATACTCTTTACCTTCCTGAGTTGAGAAACAAATATGCATAGGCATTAGATGTGGCTCATTATCAGTGTTGTGGCTGATTATGCTGAAATAGGGAAAAGAAAACATCCTGGACCGGAATCAGAATAAGATCCTAATTCATCATCCTGTGGAATCAATCTGGGCAGTCACTCGACAGATGAAAACTGCTTTCGAGGGGCACAGACAATTCCTGACAGGAGGGAAAATAAGCTGAGGGCAAGCTGGAGAGGGACAGGCCAGCACCTGCACCCCGACAGCTGGGAGGAAAATACAAAAGGCTGTATCCCGGAATGCCTACCCATTCTCCATGTCTCCCAAAGCTTACTTTTAAGAGTTCTTTCTTCACAATTCTCACAACTATTGCATTAATAAAGCATTTTTCAAATGTACAGCAGAGTGATGATTTGGGAAGAAGAGGTCAATCGCAGCAAATGCTTCTTTTTCCATTTTGTCGTCCAGGGGTGGCTGCCGTGAGCCTACCACCTGTGGCAGGCTGATTTGAATGCAAGTCAAGAGAGACCAGGCCACCTACGTGTTGCAACCCTTCCAGCTATTTACCAATAAGTCACTCCTCTCCTAGGAAGACATGAATGGAAAGGATTGGAAAGAAAGGCAAGTTTTCTCCCCAAATAATCTCACAGGTTTTGTGAAGACTGAGGCTTACATAGTTTGGGTGATATTCCTTAAAAAACAGAAAGTTACCAGTATAAAATTTGGTAGAAGGGGAGCAAGGGCCTTGAACAAGTAAGTTACTGAACTTCAAGCTTCACAGTTTTATGATACATCCTCCTCTGCTGTTGCAAGGGAAGAAGTATCTATTTCTAGGAAACTAATTTTAGATTTGCCTATGTGTATCAGTTAGGATGCTTTCCAATAGAACAATTCAACTTGCATGCAAAGCAACTTGAACTGGTTTCAATAATACAGAAGAGTAGTGGCTCATGTAAATGAAGAGTCCAGTTGCTGCGCAGGCTCTGTGATTGGTGGATCTAGCCATCTTAGCAATGTCATCAATGACCCAGTTTCTTTCCGTCTTTCCACTGTGCTGTCCGTGGTATCTCTTTCATCTTAGGCGGCTCCCTTCAAGATTACAGCATGAATACCAGTAGCAGTAGGGGCTACAAACTTCCTTTTTCCAATTAGAAGAAAGAGCAAAATTGCCTAAATTACTGAGCAAAAATCTTGAGCTTCAAACACATTTTGTTTTGGTCAAGCATCTGCTGCACTAAGGCCTAAACCAAATACTGTGGTAAGAGTGACAAAGTAACTTTAAATTTCCGAGGCCAATCAGTGCCCGCCTCCAGAGATAAGGATGAGAATATGTCTCATCCAAATCATGTAGCTGTCACGTAATGGAGGACTGGAATTGAGGGTGATGAAACATCCACAATACAAAATATTAATCAACGGGTAGAATCTGGACTAATGAACTAAATATATCAGAGGTTTTCAAAATATTCATTTGATTTAAGCTACTATCCAAAGCACTTTCAGTAAGTGCTTTTTTAAAAATCATTTTTCTTCTTTTCGGGCGAACCCAGGGCCTTGGCCATGCAAAACACATGATATACCACAGAGCTACACCTTCAGCCCAAGTTCTAAATATCTATTGAAAGAATAAATGGATTTGCTGCAAACAGATTATAAATAGGATGGAGCATTAAATAATTAATTATAATTATTTCTGTTAAATGCAACTGTATCAAAATACAAAGTTAGAACAAAAAAACATTTAAAAATTACAGGATTCGTGTCAGACTGAAATTAACCTTCCAAAACTGGTGATAAAAGACGTGAGAGTGATCTGGCTGTGACATCTGTCACCCTGATGAGCTGATGGTCGCCAGGGTTGATTTGTTTGATCTGGCTGGCTAATCCCCTTCATCCCTCATCCCTCCAGAAGCTGCAGGTTCAGTGCTCCGACAGAGGAGGACCATTCCTCAGTCAAGGGCATGTGAGTACCTGTGCTCCCCTGCTGAAACCTCCAAACAAGCTCTCCAAACTGGTGTTACAGCTCGGTGGTAAAGCATGTGTTCAGTGTGCACTTGGGTTCAATCCCCAGCATTAAAAATAAAATATTCAGTTTCATTTTAGTCTCATCAAGGAAAGTGGATGTAGGGCAAGAATGCCTCAAAGCATCTCTTTAAGGTAGCTCTTCAAATTCTAACTTTAGGGATTCAGTAAGACAAAAAAATGTTTCACAAAATAACACAAGGATAAGCACAAAGTTAAGCATCATGTAACGATTTTACTTTGATATTATACTTTGGAAAACAACAAGAGTAAATGTCAGCACTGAATTTTTAGTTTTACAATAGAATATCAGTATACCTCAAGGTAAAGATAATGATTTATCATGTTTTTCATTTTCTTGGTGTCAAGAGAGCCACTCTTGGTGTCAAGATGAAAAGAAACATGTTACTAATTTTATGTAATCTCTGCGTTCTATTTTTTACATCTATCTGGATTCCTTCCTTAAAAAATGGACAAAATTTTGTTTTGAAATTCAGAATACATTCTAAATACAAAATACCACGAATAAGCTTGTTAGTTTGATACTTATGCTTAAAACGCTTATTTTAAAAACTGAAGCATGTTTCTTGACCTTCTAGTACAAATGTTTGTACACAAAAATTGTAAGAAATCAAGCCATACCTGTTTTAGGTAATGTAGCATTAGATATGGTATAGTTCATTCAGGGTGGAGTGATTAGGTTGCAATGATTTTAAATCAAGACTCCACCTCAAGAACCTAGGAATGTTACGGAGGCTATTAGGAAGTCCACAGCTTGCCAAGAACTTCAGCTATTCTCATAAACAATTTGATTACTTATGCTGACTCCTGTATACTAAACAAGTTATCCAAGTCTTAAACTTGATGCTTCTGTGCAGTATTCACATAAAATGGTATCATTTCAGGGAAGATTTAAATTATAATTTGTTTGAAAAGAGAATCAACAGTATGTAATAGGCCTTTGAAAAGTTATATAATTAAAGGTATGCATAAGAATATGCCAGTTGATACACTTTCTGCCCAAAGAATCTGACTTTAGTTGGGTATAGTGCCTTACACCAGAAATCTTTGTATTCTGGGAGGCTGAGACAGGAAGATCCTAACAACCTCAAGTGTGGGCAACTTAGTGAGATGCTGTCTCAAAAAGCAAAAAAATGCTCTGCGGATGTAGCTCAGTGTGAAGGCTCTGGGTTTAATCCCCAGTACTACAAAAATGCAAAAAGCAAAAACACAAAAAAACCTTGATTTTTTTGCTCTATTAATGTTCTATTAAATCTCTCATTTTCTGATTTCATCCACTTCTTGTTCCCTTTGTCTTCTGCTCCAGCCACACTGGTTCCTTTTTGTAGCTGAATATGCCACTATATCTTCAGTTTTTCAAAAAAACTATTAAAGACCATATTTTATTCAGATTTACTTCATTTATGCTAAAGGCCCTTTTGTTTTGACTGTATGATTGTTAAGTGTTTATTTTTCGAAACATTTAATGAACGTAAATTATTTCCTCAGTTTTGGTTGAAATGAGCTTGACAGTCCCCAAATTGGTGATCTTAATAATATTTTTTAAGAAATTCACAGCATTTCATCTACTTTTTAAAAAGTCATGTTAAACATATGTATCTCTTCAAATAGTTATCATTTCTTTAGGGTAAAAGCTTTCAAAATCCTTCCAGTTTTCTAAAATATACTATCTCACTGTCACGTGTAAGCCCCCGCACCAGCTGCTCCCTCTACTTGGAATACAATTTCCTGAGCATTCACAGTATTAACCACTTCACTTCCTTTTGCTCAGTCTGTCCTGCCCAGGCTATTCTCCGCTGACATCCTCCACACTGCATTCCCTTTGCTTTGATCTGCTCTGTGGCATTTACTGCCTTCCATATATTGCCCACTTCTCATTTGCTTTTTTTTTTTTTTTTTTTTTTTTGTCTTTTTCATTTTTATTGGTACCGGGGATCGAACTCACGACGGCCTGCTTGCAAGACAGGTGCTTATGCCGCTGAGCTAAATCCCCAGCCCCGACTTCTCATTTCCTAAGTCTCAAAAGGAAAGTAACGTTTCTTTTTGTTGTTATTCCGTTTATCTTCATTGTCAGGTAAAATGTTTGGCACACTGTAGGTTCACATTAAAAAATTAAGAGTGATTTTTAAAAAATGAGATTGAGTTTTCACTATGGTATTTGGGCTGGCCCTTAAACTCCTGGGCTCAAGTGCTTCTTCATGACTCTGCTTCTGGAGTAACTGGGATTGCCGGTACACTCAACCACACCTTTCCAGTAATAGTTAACACTTTTATGTTTGCTTACTATGGAAGCAGGAACCTGAATGTGTTTTAATCATGTTTTAAAAAGCAAATTTCCTTTAAAAATGTACACGTTAGTTACCATCTTCCAAACCTAGGGAGAAGGAACGCATCGAGTTCTTATTTCCTAACCTATCTTTCTCTCTGCTTCTTTCTCTCTCTCTCCCTTCTCTCTCTCTCTCTCTCTCACACACACACACACACACACACACACACAAGAAAAAGAAGGAAGAAGAAAGAAAAAAAAAGTGAAGGAAAGAGTACATCGATTCCCCAGGGCCATGAGGTGGAAGCAGATTTTTGTGGTGGCATTTAGGGTTTCAATGAAGTATCCAGAAATGGTTACTGGAATGTCTGTGGGTGGCCGAACCAAAAGTGGAACTCAGAGGGGAAGCTTTCCTGCTGGGCTCTGGCGACCTGGGCGGGGCAGAAGGGCGCCTAACGAGAGCCGTGGTGTCCTCCTTGGTCCCACCTGCCCTTCGGGCGCGGGTCACTCTGACCTCCAACGCCTGCCTCCTCCGTTGCTCCGCTCTGCTCCGCCAACCTGGAGTCTCTGACCAGTCAGGCTCAGACGCAAACCACCGAAATCCCGGACACCGGCAGCCGGGAGTGTTCAGGGTTCGAAGACCGCCCCTCCCTGGTCACTGCTGGTATCTGAACCCGCGAGTAACCGACCTCACTTCCGGCCAGCTCTGCGCAGGGCGCCAAGGAAGCGGCACCACAGGACGCTCTGAGGCTCTCATTCCGTTTCGCGAGCACTGGGCACCGAGTGGCACGCGCGCGAGCCCTCGCCCGGGTTAGTTTAAGAAGCCCGCCGGGAGACAGCAGGAGCCCGTCTCGCCTACACCGCCTCACAGCCCGGCGACCTCCCCAGGGCACGAACTCCGTAAAAGTTTACGTGGCCCCGCCTACCAGGGCGGGACCGAGACTCGGCCCAACCATTGCGCCAGAGGTGCGGGGAGGCCGCAGGCAGCAGCGCGGCCACGGTGCGAGCGCTGACGCCGCTGACACCTAGCCTCCTCCCCTAACGCCTCACGTGGTGCGGTCCAGTCACCAGTCACGTGGCGGCGGGGCGCGGCCTTCTGCGCCCAGGTGCAGCCGCCGGTTACCTGTGAGGAAGTACGGAGGAGCGGCGTGGCTGCTGGAAGGATGCTGAGCCAAAGTCGCCTCACCCTTGTCCTGCTGGCCGCCGCTGTTTCGTGCGCCTTAGCGCAGCACGCGCCACCGGTGAGTGAGTTGCAGCCGCAGGTGCAGTTGCGGGCGCAGGTGCAGATGCGGGCAGCTGCGCGGGGCAGCACCTGGCGGCGGCGGTGTCTTTGCCCGGAGCTGCGGTGTCTTTCGCGCGGATGCGAGTTCAAACCCGGCGGGTGAGCCTGGTCCAGTTGACTTGGTGCTAGCTAGAACGAGAACATCTTGTAGGGGGTATCCTAATCTCCGCAGAGCGACTGGGCATGATACGCATATCCTCAGATTTGAGAGATTGTGTTGGGAATAGCAGTTCCATGCTTTCTTGGCTAGAACTCTTAGAATTTTCCATCGACTTTTGTCCAGTCCTTAAGCACAAGACTGCTTGATGACTTGGACATTGTTAGCCTGATGACCAAGTGCTTTTCTCCGAATGAATGTGCCTCCCAGGGGCTGCGGGTCCCAGATCTGCTAGATTTGAGGATTTGAGGTACTCAAGTCGGTGCTGTCCTGGCCTCCACTCCACAACCCACCCGGTCACGGGGGCGCAGGTCTTGTGGCTGTCCCACGAGTTAGTCACAGGGCCTCGGTCTTGCTGACCAAAAGAGACAATGACGGACCAGAGCGACTTAACAAAAGAGGAAGCAGACCTGGAGCAAGCAAGTCTGTAGCCAGAGGCCACACTCTTGTTTCCTGTACCAATACTAAACTCAGGCCTCGTGACACCCAGCCTGGCGAATTTTCCTAATTCATTTCTTTCAGAACAATAAAACTCTTGTTTTTCTTTGCCAGCAGATAACTAGAAACCTGGGTGCCTCTGACCAGAGGCTGGGTGAGAATGAATGATACGTAATGGATAATCTCCTTCTTATTCTTTTATTCCTGTAAGGAGAAATGCCTTAAGGATGAAACGTAGTCCCTGAAAATTGATAAGTATTTAGCAGATAACAGCAGAACATACATAATAGCGATTTCAGTAATAAAAAACGCATAATAGCGTGTACATTTGGACTAGAACCGAAAGACTGAAAGGAAGTCAGTCAGTTTGCCTTGGTACAACTAGGGTTTTAATTACCTTGAGAGTGGTTTAAAGAATTTAATACTGTTGATGCTGTCAATGCCCTTAATCAGAGACCATCAGGAACACGCTAGTAGTTGAACATACTGAATGTATTATTCTTTGAGAGGAAAATGCACACCATGGGCAACCATGGGTTAAAAGAAAGCTATAACAGAATTTGCACTTTGGTTATGTGATTTTAGGGATGGGCCCAAGAAACCTGGAATTGATTGCTGATTGGGTACTTTTAGAGAGAGAGAAGGTTTTTGGTAGTTTGTGGGTTGCAGCTTGGCCTTGTTTTTCTTTTTTTTTTTTTTTTTTGTCTTTTTTTTTTAGTTTTTATCGGTACCAGGGATCGAACTCACGACTGCCTGCTTGCAAGGCAGGCGCTTATGCCGCTGAGCTAAATCCCCAGCCCCTTGTTTTTCATGAAATCGTTAAGTGGCCTGGCTTTGTCTCAGTAGGGCTCCTGTAACCGTACCCGAGTTAGGTGGTCTATGAGAATGTTAGGAGCGGAATAGAGACAATCCGGTTGTGAGTGAGACAGCTTGTAATCGTACTGAGCTTTAGCTGTGAACCCCAGAGCAGTTTCAACTGTCAGGGGCTGCTGCTTTTTCTTTTATTTTCTCAAAGCAAAAGTATTTTTTTTTAATTAAAAAAAACTTAACAAGAGTCAACAGTCAATAAATTTTGTAGTTCTTATCTAGACTGGTTATTGAAATCTACTCTAACCACTTGTGTCAGATTGGAAAGCTGCTTTCATAGGACTTAAGTGAAATAAGAAAAATAAGAATATAAGCTAAAATCGTTCATTTAGAAGATTAGCCTTGATTCTGATTTTTATGAATGCCAGGGTTTTGTTGTTACTGTTGTTATAATGTTCTTTTTGGAAATGAGGAAGATGTTATGTGTGTTTATGTGTGATTTGTTTTCTTTCTTTAAAGATCCTTATTTGGCAGAATAAAATTGGGACCCTCTTGTGCTGGAGCGCTGCTGATTTTTTTTAATGATCTGGATAATGCTGGGCCCCACTCATTGAAAGGACCTTAGGAACTGCTTAAAAGTGTAGTGGCTTCCATAGGAAGAAGTTTCTGCTGTGAACTTCACTAATTATAGGTCATCTATTTCCAGTAATCTTGTCTATCATGAAGCATTTTCCCCCTCACTATCAAAGCATCCACTATCAAAGCAGAATTAGTAAAACTGCCACCAGCTAATGAAATCATCTGTTCTTACCAGACACATAGTGAACAAAATTCTACTCAGTATTTTGAATATGGTTTGCCTGATCACAATGCCTTCCCTTTTATGGTCACTATAAAATGTCATTAGTCTTAACTGTACTAATTTATTAGCAATAATTTTTAAATCAGCTAAAATTCTGTCATTCAGAAGAGTGAGTCACTAAGGATTCTGAGTGATCTTGATCTTCCAAGTGCTAATGTTCTTAAATCTCTTGCCCAGAATTTATCACTGTTTTGAATTAAGCATTGTGTAGTATGGTAACATAAAACCATTATAGGAATTACCTGAAAAAGTTAGCATAAGATTAAGAGTAAATAATTTTTTTTAACTTTATTATTAATTTTTAATCGGTACCGGGGATTGAACTCACAACTGCCTGCTTGCAAGGCAGGTGCTTATGCCGCTGAGCTAAATCCCCAGCCCCAAAAGTAAATAATTTAATTTTTGTCTGGTTTCACTGTATACAGAGTAGGTAAGAACTGTGCAAACTGTGGAATTGTTTATATAAGGAAGCAATAAAAGTAAGGCAAAACATGTAAAAGTATTTTAGATTCTAAAGGAATAAGTTCTTGAAACCTAAGACCATTTGTAACCCAACTTATCATCAATAATTTACAATTATTATCTTTATACTCATTAATATTACTATCACTGCAAAAAATTGTTTGCTCACTTAAAACCATTTTAAAAATTAAAGACATCTAGTAATATTTTTTGTTTTAAAATCTTTTGAAATTAAAAAATGTGTATTTTGTGCAAAAAATATTCAGTGACTTCAATCTCTGACAAGAATAAGTTGTTTTTTGGCTTGAATCAATGTATAATAAACGGTAGCCTCATAGTAATAGAAAAATGTTTCAGCACAAGTTTTGTTAAATATAGATGATGCGGCCCAGCTTTAAATGACAAGTTATTTGATTTAGAACATATGTAGATATTTTGTGCGTGTGAGTTTGAGGCTTTCCTGATATGTGTATCTTGAGGTTGCCCTGACTTACTCTTCCTTATTGAATGTATGTAGAGCCTCATAAGAGATGGTGGGACAGGAGACACTGAAGAAAAATATGAGTAGGTAGGAATTCTGGATGACAGTGGCCAGGGTTCTGTAGACCCTGTGAAGGATTGTGGAAACAGTCAAGGAAAAGCTGTTGGGTAGCTTTAAATAAGATAAAAATTCAATGATGGGATAAAAATTTAATTAAAAATTAAAATTACCTTAACGAGATAAAAATTGGATTGAAGGAATGTAAGAGTGGGCATGTGTGGATAGGAGATTAGCCCAGAGGACAAAATGGGACCTATTAAAGGAGAGAGACAAGTTGGGGGTACAGCTCAGTAGTAGAGCATACTTAGCTTCACTGAGGCCTTGGATTCAATCCCCACTAACCAAATCAAGAAATAAAAAAAAAAGAAATGAAGGAGGGTGGCACCAGGGCAAGGGAGAGGGGTAAGTATAATCAGAAAACAGAATGAACAGGACAAAAGACAGAAGAAGGTGAGGGAGGGTGATGCCAGTATGTGTGGGGGCGATTAAGATTGATGACATGATATGAAGCCATTGGAGGAGATCAACTTTCCTAAAAAGAGGATATAGAGAGAGAAAGAAGCAACTAGTCAGAGGGTAAGTAACTTACACAAGTATGGATAAAACAGAAATTAGCAAATTTACTATGGCGGTCCAGATGGGAGAGGAAATGTGCCAGATGCCCAGAGAAGGCAATGGGATGAGTTACTGGTATAGTTGAATATATTGAGATGTGAGGTGTCCATCGCAATACCGGAGGTGTGGAATCATCTGGAGGTCCTTAGGTCATCTTGACAACTGAAAGTCACTGGGCCGTCTTAGCTGGAACAGTGTTGGTGACAGAAAATAGATTATAGTAAGATTAGTAGCAATCAGAAGGAAAGAAACTGGAGTGGATGAGTGAACTGTTCTCAGTAATAAACGTGAAATTATCTGTAAGATGTGTGAGAAAGAACCATAATGGCTCAGTAGTGAAAGGCTTCGCTTCTCATGGCAGTGGTTAGCACTGCTGACAGTGGCTCTTGAATCATCCTGAGCAGTGAATTTTCAGTTTTCTAGGATCTCATAAATCCTGTGTGGCTTCACCAGGGCAGTTGTACTGCCTGGGCTTTTCCCAGTGCTGTAGAGAAACGAACACAAGTACAGTATAACCTGCTTACTTATTTAGCTAATATTGCGTGCACACACTTGCTTTCACCCTTAGAAAGCAACACAAAGGGAGGTGAGTGTTGAGATTCTAAATTTGATCGTTTTCCTGAGATACAGTAACATCATTCCAAGCTGACTGTACTATCTCAACCTGTGTATCACGTGCTTACAATCCTTATCTAAGGTCTACTTAAATTTTACCTGTCTTAAGTTTGTTATTGAGATCATGTCTAGTTAAATTTGGGTATAGTAAAAACTTGCAAGAACAAATGAGTTCATGATAATTCTCTTTCAGGGTTGTAGGTCGGCCTGAAAGTTGTGATTCCCTTGCAGAGTACTCCTTGGAGGGCCATCCTTTCCCCCAAAGCTAACCTTTTTTGCAGCCCTGTGGGCTTCACAGCAAGTTTTTAGAAAAAGTGCCCTATCGGGATATGTAATGTTTCTATGTTTAATTTTAAATTTATTAAAAAAATTGTTTTTGTCTTTTTGAGACAGAATCTTGCTGTGCAGTTCAGGCTGGCCTTGAACTCACTGTGTGGCCCAGGCTGGTCTCGACCTTGCTGT